TTTCCTCTATTGTTTCCGTCTTTTTAATCATTTGCCTTAATTTATTAATAGATTCACCTCATTGTCAGACAAATTTAGAGAGCAGATTTTTTCCCTTATATTGAGATCTATGAGTGATTTAAAAAAGAAAAGCAAAATTAACTTTCATTTATAGTAAAGGAAGATTAAAATAAGTAGTGGGGTCTGTCTTGGGTTGACTGTTAATTACTGTGAATGACATTGTGATACAGTTGCACTGCGTGACCACCTTGAGGCTGCAGCCTGCATCTCCACCACAGGGAGGCAGGTTCTTCTTCAATATCTTACTTGGGTCTTGCTTTTCCCTCTCTTAAGTCATTTTTTTTTTTTTTTGTCAAATTCTACCTTTGGCTAACTGTAACAAAAAGCAGTCTTACTTACTTTATCCCGTCCTACTTATAGACACCCAACAGACTGTAAGGGAACAAGGGAAGTTGAGTGTGATCCCAGAGCTCTTTCATTCTTCATAGGCTCAGGGAATACAAGCTGGAGGTAGGTATAGTGTGATGAAGTTATCGGTTAATCAATATCTCCGCCAGGGAAATGTTTGACCATAGAGCAAATCTGGTACCTTAAAAAATATTAATTGCTCAGACATTTACTGGTAAGGTAGGTCATACACATTTCCTATTTAATTAAAGAGCAGAATTTTACTGTACCTAAAAATATACCATAGATGAATGTCATGATGAACATCTGTGTGATGTTTTGTGTTCCATGACTTTCCTTTCTGCTAGGAGGAGGGGCTCGGATACTGTCCCCATTTCAAGGATGAAAAAAGAAGAGCTCAACAAGATTAAGCAACTTCTCCATAGAAGTGGCAGAACCAAGGCCCAGTATGCTGCCAGGTTCATACTCAGTGATCTTTCTACCGATCCAAGTGGCCTGTGTAATATCTAAATGCTGAGTCTTTCAAGGAAAATTGCTATAGTTATTTAACTGCCTTTACCCTTAGAGGCAAGTAATATAAAGTTCAACTACCTCTTTTACAAAGTATAATACTTACATTGGTACTTAATTCCATTCTGTCATCATCTCAAAGCCCTTAGGAGCACCCTAGTTTCTTAGCTTTGGGGCCAGATGTCAAAGACATGGGCAAATAGCTAATAGCATAGACGGTGGAGACTGTTGGAAGCAGCCCCCAGGTCCAGTCTCAGCTCCTGCTGTCCAACAGTTTGCACAGCCTGGTTAGTCACCCACACACACAGAATAAATTCTCAATAAATGTCAACTGTTATTATTAGCAAAGGCTGGTAAAAAGAGGGCAGTCCAGATAGAAAGGTAGCTGAAATATTAAATAAGAAAAATAGATCAATGTCATCAAGAACCTAGATAGGTCTAGAATGTGTGCTTTTTTTTTTTTTCTCCTTTGCAGGGAGGAGCCTCTTTCTTAAGTATGGTTGAATTTGAATAATTTTCCAAAAGATTTGGAGAGAGTTTCAAACCAGAATTAATTTTATTTTTAAAAAATATGATGTATTTAATACCCAAATATGTTTAATACTATTATGCTTGCAGATCAGAGGGCTTATAATTTGCATATAGTGAAACTCACATTTTACTGTGTGCATTTCTTTGAGCTTCAATGTATATATAGACAGCTAGATACAGTTTATCCACTGCAACTAACATACAACTTAGCTCCTCTAATTCTTTTGTGCCCCTGGTAGCCACCCTCTTCCCTTACCTCACCCTCTAAAGCTACATAGCTGGTTTCTGTCCCCACAGTTTTTCCAGAATGCTGCATAACTGAAATCAATCACTGAGCCACCTTTTGAAGTGTGACCCTTTTGCTTAACTTGATCCACTTAAAACTTACCCATGCTGTTGTATGTTTGGGTATTACTGTGGGATGAACCCCAGGTTGTTGATTCACTTGTCAGTTGATGGGCATTTAGGTTTTTTCTACTTTGGGGCTATTGTGAACAGCACTGCAGTGAATGTCTGCATACAAGTCTTTGTGTGTGTGTGTGTGTGTGTGTGTGTATATTTATATATATATATATTTTTTTTTTTTTTTCAGTTTTTGGCCAGGGTTGGGTTTGAACCTGCCACCTCTGCCATATGGGGCCGGCGCCCTACTCCTTTGAGCCACAGGTGCCGCCGAGTCTTTGTATATTTTTTCATGATACATGCCTGCATATCTTGGGAGTAGAATTGTTAGGATCTCATACATGGTGTATTTTAAACAATGTTGTAACATGGATAGACTGCATTTCAGAAAGATCCTCAAAGTGATGTGGAACATAGGAACCAGACTGGAGGCAAAGAGACTGGTTAGGAAAGTGGTGCTTTGCAATCTACCTGTGGCAGAAATCACTAGTTTCTTCACTCTTCATTGGAATAGGTATAGGGCATAGTGTAGTATGAAGATTCTGTGACTTTTTCTTAATTCTCCCATGTGCCATAGTATGAAAACTTCTTCTTCCGCGAAGTCAGTGAAAATGAAGTCAACGTTAATTTTTTATACCGTCTGCATGTGCATCATTAGGGCTTTTCTCTTGCCTTCTTTTATCTTCCTCCTTTTCTGTTTTATGTGTTCTTAATATTTTAACCATGGCAATACAGGGGAAGTAAGGCCTCAAAAAACAACTAGTCCCTTTTCTTTCCTTCTTTGTACTTTGGAAAAGGGTAAACTGAAATGGTAGTCATTTAAAAAAAGTATGGAATAGAGAGCTTCCTCCTAAACCATTTTGAAAAATCCAGTTGCAGAAAAATTAATAATCCTTTCCAGGACCTTATAGGTCTTCTTTGCAACATCATTAACATGATTTAAATCAACTGAAAATTAGGATTTTTGAGTTCAAAGAGACCTTAAGAGAACCCGCCTGAGTCAGTTATTTTTAGATGAGAAAACTAAGGCCCAGAGAGCTCACGAGAGTTCCGCAGGATTCCATCACTAGCCAGAATGTACACTCATCACTTCTTCTGCTAGACCACAAGTGGGAAGAGATATATCTGTATTTTTTTTTTAATAATTGGGAAAATTGCCTCAGGCTTTTTATACTTTTAAAAATAAAAAGAGTTATGATAAAATAAGATTTGAATTTTAAAGAGAAGAGCAATATTTAGAAACTATTAAATATGAAGATATATAAAAAGATGGGATAGAGTAATTTCTTGATAATAGGTGCTAGGAAATTTTTAATATTTTTTCTATTTTTGTTCTATTAAAATATTAAGACACCGAAGTACTTAACAGTGTTGCTCATTTAGCAAGCATATTATTTTACTATTAACTACTTTGGATGTCCAAAACCGCCATTATTTTTTCTTGTAACTAAATCTCATGTTCACGTGAGTTTTCTGTCGCAGGAGACGACACACTGAAGCACGCTATCCGGCAGCACGCCTGCCTTGCCTGGAGGTCCCCATGTCATTTTGTTGATAGGCATTTCCAGAAAAGTAAAACGAGCTCCTGGGAGACAAAGTCTGTGCTGAGATGACAAGACACAAACTCCCGCCACCATAAATCCATGTCTCAGTCCAGTGCCAGTGGATTTTCCACACCAGTATATATGGTGACACATAGTGACATCCACTTGGAAAAGCCCTTTGTTCCCTGTGTCCTGTCTCTGCTTCAGACACTTACAGTTTCTAATAAGAGAGGTACTGGAAGCCCAGTTAGAAGAGGAGAGAGAGATAAACAATACCAAAGATCACAGCTGATTTTCGAGTCATAAGTAGTGAAATAAAAGGTGACGGTCATCAGAGTGTTATTGCTGATGAGGTCTAAACCGAGGGATGGAGTGTAGAGAGTCAGGAGTAACAGATTTCTTCCTACTGAACTACAGATTGGATATACCCACCCACTCCCAGTGGCGCAGGCCAGCCCGAGTTGTTCCATGCATGTGCCTCTCCCTGTGGATTTTATCAATTTAGCTCGTTACACATGCTTTTGGGAGGCAGTGAAGAAGTGAGACCCAACTACAGAAGCATGTTTCTTCCCTCCACTCAGCAGATCAATAAATCACGTTGCCTGCCCTGTCGGGAGAGGCAGGAGACAGAGGGGTTTTAGGGAAAAAAGAGCTTTCCCTCTACTCAGAAACTGAGAAGTGTTTCCTTCCTCCCCTGTCTGGAAAGGAGGGAGATTTCAGCGGTCTTATCTATGAAGTTAAATTCCCCACGTTGGGGAGGTAGAGAGAATAAAAGGTAAGGTACATACAGTGCCAGGTTTGGAGACTGGAGCAGCTGAGTGCTGAACAGACAAGAGTGATTCCATTTCATCTTCCTCTCCATGGGCCCATATTTTCCTTCTTTGCCCTTATTTTAATTTCATTCCCTAGCCTGGTTTCTGATTTGGACAACTGGGTGCCTAGAGCACCGTTCCCTGAAATAGAGTAAATACGAGAAAGAATAGATGTACGTGCAATAGCAAATTCTATTTCTAATCTACCAAGTTTGAGGTATCTGTGTCAATAAGCACTTGGATTGATGATTTTTGTAATGAACTAGTTAATGTGTCCTGTGTGTGTGGCGGGGGAGGATGACTCTGACTCTGAAGACTGTAAGGTCCGGGAATTGGCAGAGGGAAGGCACCGTGGAGGAGGGGAAGAGAAAGTGAACAGGTGAGGGATGAGGAGGGAACTTTCTGGACGTATTCAAAGACTGTCTCAAATAATCTTTTAGACTTTTAGTTGACTGTGATAGTTTAGAAATTACAGTGTCATTTTCATTCCAGAAACTCAACTAGTGTCCCTGAGAGTTTCAGGATAGTGGTGACATACATTTGGAAAAGCCCTTTGTTCAAGCCCCACTCGCCCAGTCTTGCAAGGAGACCTTGGAGCTTCACTGTCTTCCGTGGCGGTTCCTCACTTTGTCTCTATCTCGGGGAGAAGGAGGAATGGGGGCCTGTGTGTGGTTCTCCTGTGGTTTTCTGTGGCGGAGCAACACCAAGTTTCTCTCTACTTGTAAATCACTATTCTTATAAGTATCTCTAGGCAAGAAAAATTAAAAACTGAAAACCTCTCTTTTTCTTTCAGTTAAGAAAAAGAAGCCTAAACTTTTAAATAAATTTGATAAGACAATTAAAGCTGAACTTGATGCTGCAGAAAAACTCCGTAAAAGGGTAGGTAGTTATTTTTGTTATACATAAAAATGTCCAACGGTTTTGTTGATGTGTAAACTCAGATATTGCTCTTCATTTGTTAAAACGTAATAAATGTACAAGAAACAACCTTTGAATGGAGTGGATTTCCCCAAGTTCGTCAGCATTCCATGTGGAATGAATCAAAGGGAGAGAATTGGAGCTGCAAGGCCGAGGAGGAGTAGAACTTTCCTCTGGAGGCAGGAGATGGGGGGCAGCACCTCCCTCGTAGTGGTAATTGGGGGGCATCACCTCCCTGGTAGTGGAGATGGGGGGCAGCACCTCCCTCATAGTGGTGATGAGTGGTAGCACCTCCCTGGTAGTGGT